CCCCCCCCCCCCACCAGAAACCCTAATCGCCGCCCTCTCCAAATCTTCCCCTAATCCCAACATACTAGTGTTCCTCCGCTACAGGGTATTTCTCCATGGTATCACATAGTACTTTCCTAAACATGGCAAGTACTATCTCTCAAAATCCGGCCATTCCACTTCAACCACTTAAATCTGGACAGTATTTAGTCCATATACACCATGACCATGGTAGCCAAGATTTCCGGTCAATCTTCGACTTCTGTCAACTAGGGTTTACCTATTTTTTTCCCTAATCCAATTTTTATTGATTCTGCATGTTAATACATCTTTATTTATGATTGATTTTACAGGTTTTCCTTGTTTGCTTGTTCATTTCTGTCACTATATAAACCTCTCGCCATTCCCCTTTGAGACGAGACTTTAATGGCCATAATCTCACGAAATTTTGAAGCTTTGTTATGTTATTCCTTCATTATCTTGTTCTGTACTTTGTTTTGGCCGGCTGAAAGCCAAGTCCACTGAGAGTCTACAGTTCGAACTTTCTCTTGGTGCGAGCATTTTCCGGAGTTTTTTTTAAGCTCTTAGGAACTTTGACGCATTGAGGTTTTGGGTTCTTGTGGATCTTTATTCTTTATTGTTGTCCGTTTAACTAGTAAGCCACTTGACCATTGCAATTTCATCCTTATGTGTTTTTTATTTGTATGTGTTCTCACCTTTGAAATCCATGGCTTAATGTGTTTTTGGGTTACTTTTATGCACGACTCTGTTAACTCTACACTTGTTTTAAGTCTCTTTAGCATTTAACTTCCCCTAATGCTGCTAGTTCTGAGATTGTCTAAGTGTAACTTGGATAATCTGACCCTCCTAAGCTCGTTTAACTAGTGTATTGGTGCCTGAATGTTCTTAAATATGCTTACTTGCTTTGTCCTGAATCTTTGTAATGAATGCTTCACATTTGTATTGACCTGTGTTAGAACTTCCTTTGTTAACTATGACATGTTTCTCTGCTATTTTTTCACTCAGCAGGCTCACTTGATCCCATACCCCTTTAGTGATTGCGTGAGGTTTTAGAATAGTCATCTCAATTTGTTTGAACTGCTTCATGTTATTAGGGGAATCTCTAACAAAACTTTGACCTTCTTTAGTTAATTAGTCTAATGTGTCAATTCCTGAATACCTACATTTGCTATTTGACATGAGTTTACTTTCCCATTCTATTATGAATCTCTCTAATGATAGTATTGCATATGTAATGTGTGGTAATTTGTGTTAAGACCTTTTCTATCGACTATGATCTTGCTTCTCTACTAATATGTTCCTTAGTATGTCTTTAGTTCACTTGATATCTTGTTCCTTCAGTGATTATTTGGCTTATCACAATGTGTGTGTTCCTCATCATGTCTAAATGTTGATTAACATGACACTGGGACGTATACTTAGCATAATGTGGGCCTATTAGGTTTTAACTTGTTTAGTATTGTGCATATGTGCATGATATTCTTTGTCAAACCTGCAAACTTGTTCCCTCTTCCTTTTAACTCTATCAATATGTCCATGTGTTATTTTTATAAGTGTTGAACCTGCTTTGTGACCTATTTGATTAGTTTCTTTGTGTTCTCAACCTTGCCATGTCTACTTTAAGTTATAAATGTATTCCCCCCCAACTTCTTTCCCTCAGCCATTGTCCACTCTCCCTCATTGTTACTTATATTGTTCTGAAGTTCTCATTCTTAGCCGGCTGAAAGCCAAGGCTAGCAAGGTTCTTACTACTGACCTCCCTAGCGTGAGCACTGCTCGGGGTCCATTTGAGACCCTTGTGAACTCTGACACACTAGGATTAGAGTCTTTAGTCACTCCCTGAAACCTGAACTATCCCACTCAACCCTTTCTTCCTATTATGTGCTGAATATCTAAACTGTGTGGTTTAAGTGATTCAACGCTTGGGAATATGGTTGTGTGATTTTGCTTTGAGCTCTTCTATGGTTTCTGGGTTGTGTTGATAAATTTGGCTCCTTTTTGAAACCTGGATATGCTGCATGAGAATTGCTGAAGGCCCAGACATTGTAGGGTATTTCTTTTGGGCCTGTTGTGGGCCTATTGTCATTATTTATATAATGTTTGTAATCTTATTTATTATTGGGCCAGTAATAACCTTGTAATAAATAATTGGGGTGTTAGTAAAATATGGGGTATGGGTAAATTCTTAATATTTGCATGAAGAGGGGTAGACAACATGCCTATAGGACTCATTGATTCACTTGCTACATGTGCTATTCAATCACTATGTGCACTATAGAAATCATGTCATTAGAGAAGCACACACTCACACTATTTGCTTACTGCCAAAGCATGAATTCAACTGCTGCAATTATTCTTGCTGCTACGTGTTACTAGAAAACCTACCTATAGGAACTAATGTCACTAACTTTCTTTCGATTGTCCTCAGCACGTTCATTAGAATTCATGTCTATAGGATTTTGATCACTTCATTTGATATTATCTCATACTGTCCACTAGAAATCATGCCTATAGGATTTTAATCATCTCATTTGTTACTGCATCGCACTGTTCCCCTAGAAAGCATGTCTATAAGGTTAAGGTATAATAATAATATCCACTCCAAGTGCTAATCATTAGAGATCCTGTCTATAGGATACCACTATTCACCTTAATAATGGTTAATGCTGCACCTCTCAACTTTGTTTATTATTCACTTAGGCCATTGTCAAAAGGCATAAGTAATTCTTGGTTTCTCCCAATAGATTTCACTGTCACCTGGGGCGTAAATCACTTAGACGCAACGTCTGTAGGATGAAAATACTGGAAATCTGCAATCTCAAATCAGCTTGCAAATTGTATAATCATTTAGAGATAAAACAGCGCATGGCCTCTAAAACTACTTGTACGCTTTGATGCCTTGTCACATAGAAATCATGTCTATAGGGCTTAAGGTTTTTAATTCTGAATTGCCTAACATGAAAACTTGTCTTGCGTGCATTTGTTGCTTAAGAGTGGAGGCAAACTTGAGCTCTTTACTGCCTATATTTGAAGTCCAATGTGTTTTGTATGTCGCCTAGTTTTGACGTTTTTGAGCAGCCTAAGCGAGGTCTAGAACCACCTAAATAGAGGTCAAAAAACCTCCTGGACCATAGGTATGGGACGAGTAGTGCACGCATAGAGCACGATTAATTGAACTAGCACGCTTTAAGTAAACAACTTTAACATAGTAATCGGGTAGCTGGAGATAATAGTCTGTGCCCCCTGAATAATATGAGTAACTCCCTAGCTTAAGGGAGTTGCGAAGTATTATTTATGTTGCACTGGGTGATCCTTTAGGCTAAAAAAACTTAGGATCCGTCTCTCTTTTTTATGTTAGATCTAAATAGTTGTATCCTTGTAATCGTACTAAGATTTGTACTAATAGGTGCCCTAACGCACCTTAAAAATCGTTAGGCGGTGACTCTTCTCCTTTAACACTCTATCTCCCATTCTATAAGGAGTTGTCACGACGTCGATACCCGCTTTCGCGAGAAAACGGGCCGCGACAGCGGATATTTCGGCTTTCCGTTATCTGGCTCGGCAATTCCTTAGATCTTTCTCGGTCTCGATCTTGCTCGGTCTCTCGGTCACGAGCTCGACAATCTAATTTTGCGCTTGGTTCGATATAACCCCAGCTCGAGCTTTGACCAGCCATGTTTCAGCCTCGATTGGTCAAACAATGGACGAACCCGATTTCGACCGTATACAACTACTTTTTTCTTTTTCTTTCTTTTTAATGAAAAGATGCAAAGATTTGACAGTGGAAGTAAGACAGCCTAACAAAGAAGAAATTGAGTACAGCAGATCATAAAAGGATATTCCAAGTGCATGACCTTTAATTTTATATGGTTTTAAACAGCCAGAAAGTGTATATAGAGGGATGGTTTCTGTACGATCAGAACAACTCATAAAGTAGCTAGTGGAAAGATTTGAAGCCATTGCTTTTAATTAAGATTTTAGAATATGCTTTAATTTTTAGGATATATTAGGAATGAACTTTTGTTCCAAATTAAAGAAGTTGATTCTCATAAATACTTGAGTTACTTAAAGGATTTTTTAAAACCATATGGTGTCTGGAACCCATTGACGTGACTAATCCAACCGCATATGGCACATTAAGAGTGAATCGGTCGGTACAAGGAGTTGATGTATATATATACATCATTTATTAATACACAACACTTATAGGCTTGACGAAGCCACAATTAACTAAGGGCACAAGAAAGTGATTCAATGTGAATGAATCTTGAAGCTAAAGGACTTAGTCAGCCATGCCTTCCAACCCTTTTTCCCATTCTGAGCAATCCCATTCGCCCTTCCTTCTGTCATCAGTGGCTGTTTTTGCTTCTTGCAAAGGATGAAATTTCTCACTCCTAGTGATCCAATCGAGTCCAATGGTCCCAGAGCTGAAAATTTTGATCAGAAAAACAAAGGTTAACAATACCCTGAAATGATTTATAAAAAAGAAGAAAGATTCAAGTGGCCATGTAAAGTACCATCAATTCCAGCAGTGGTTGAGTAAAGAAAGAAATCGTTGACGTCTGAACTCAGAATTGGAAGTCGGCCCTCGCGAGCATATTGTTTCAGAGCAGTGTCAACGACCACAGCAACCTTATCATTCTCGCTCACTACAAACCTTAACGGCCCAGCACTACCCAACACATTCACTGTAATCAACAACCTAGTACTATTATTCTTCACCTTCTTATTCTCTTCCCCTTTCTTTATTGCCTTCTGCATGCATATTTTTTCAGAAAATGATTTCATTAACTTTCTCTCCATTTAAATCTATCAATAACACTGCAGTTATAGGACACAAGGAAAACAACGGGATAAATTTATATGAAAATCCTATCTCAAGGGTCAAGGCCAATGCAACGATAGTACCAGGCTTCTTTAACAGAGCCAAAAGAGAGAAGAAACGAGAAGTAAATAACAGTGGGCATCAAAGTTTTGATGGTATCAACCATTCAAGCAGAGAGGTGCTTCTCTCACAGGCTTCTGCAAATTAAGAAAAAAAGAACCTGAAGGGAAAAATAAGTTTCAACTACGGAACTTTTGAGAGAGGAAAAAGGAAAGATGTGCTTCTTGAAATGGACAGTGGATTCTTTCTCTGTTTTCTGGGCAAATGCTACACCTCTTCTTCTGTTATGTATACATTATTATTACTAGACAGCATTTGACAAGTTTTTATTAAGTCGCCTTGACATGAGGAAAGCTTCTAATATAGGGAAGAAAGATAGTTCAAGAGTTGCTTTATGTAGAGATAATTTTATTCATGGCCATTGAACTTTTGTGTTTGTTATCCAAAGTCACTTTTCTTTCTTTTGTTACACAAAAATCATTTTACTTTGCTCTAGTTATCACAAAAGTCACATTTTTACTTGAAAAGTATATTATGATATTTATGTAATACCTTCTATACTATATACTATATAATATATTTTTACCTATGTATTTTAATCATAAATAAAATATTTTATAATATTATTTTATTTATTATTTTTATAATATATTCGTATATTTAATTTTTTCTAACTTTGATTTTCAAGATATATTAGTAGCGTTATAAAACAACTTTTTTTAGCAATTCTTTTTTTTTTTTTTAGAATTTAATTGACCGACCAAAGTTGGTCGGTAACTTGCGACCAACTTTGGTCGGTATGCCCTTCTGACCTTTAAAATACCGACCACACGTTAATGGTCCCGTTTTGGACGGTTATTGGCCATTACCGATCAACTTTGGGCCTTTTTTTTTTACGGTTTTTCTCGAATTATTAGTAGTATAATTTTTCAAATAACCAATTGCCCAGGTAAATCCCCAAGAAAATATCCCCAGCTAAATTCACATGTAGAGTTACCTAGGGATTTTCCTTCAGATCAACATATGATTTTTTCCTCATTTTCTTTGTTTGTTTACTTGCGAATTTTCTCACGGAAATGTACTTGCCGATTTATTTCTCTACTAATATATATTAAAGTTACTACAAATTTAATAACGCTACTAATATATTTTGACAATTAATGTTAATAAAAAATTAAATATACGAATATATTATAAAAATAATGAATAAAATAATATTAAGTTATTTTATTTATAAATAAAATACATAGTTAAAAATATATTATATAGTATATAATATAGAAGGTATTACATAAATATGAAGGTTTATATAATATCAAGGGCATAATAGAACTTTTTAAAGTAAAATAGTGTACTTTGTGTAGATAACTAGAGCCAAGTAAAATGATTTTTGTGTAACAAAAGAAATAAAAGTGACTTTGGTGTAATGAATACAAAGTTGAATGATTTTTACGTAACAAAAAACAAAAGTGACTTTTGGGTGACAAACACAAAAGTTCAATAACCATGAATAAAATTAACTCCTTTATGTACACTATTAATACTAGACAACTTATGACAAGTTCATGTATTCCAATACCAAATTAATGTTTAAATTTGAAGAATAAAGAGAAAAGTTATTATTGTACTATATACTATATACCAATCACAGAGAATAAATACACGGAGAAGTGTGGACTCTCTGGCCGAGCCACATGGTTGTAAGGGGTTCAATTAAATCTTCTTAATCCAGAAAAATATATTGTATAAATAAGGCAAAAATAAATTTTTTTAAATACTTATAAATTTTTGAATTCTCTTAACATGAAGAAAGTTTCTGATATAGTGGAAAAGATGGTTCAAGACTGGTTTTATTATGTAGTAAGCTAAATCTTATGTGTGACATTTCTGTATTTTTATTTTTTTATTTTTTGAAACACTTGGCTCTGCTATTATCTGGACTGCTAATCACCTCAGACAAATTCATGAGAAGCAAATAACAAAGGATTATTTAATGCTTTATTCACAGGAGCAAGGATATATATATATTTAATTCGTTAGATGTAACTGAATTATTCTATAAAAAATAAAACAATTTTACCAAGTTGACAAGCGTCCCAGAAAGAATAAATATAAACTGTTAACAACTACCAGGCATGAAGTAAGCTATACATAAACTATAATTCTTGATGAGCTCTGGCCTATGCCCTTTCGATAGCTGTTTAGGACAGAGCCACAAACCCCTTTGTGATTGAAATAGTAGCTACTATAATATTGGAGAGGTTGAGGTTTATATTAAAGTCGTGGCTTTGAATTTTTTATTATCAAGTTTAATGTACGGCAAGAAAATGCAGAAATATGATATTTTTTGGGTAGTCTTTAAATTTTGACCCTCGCTTGCTAGATTCAAAATCAAAAGTTAAAAATGTTGCCCATGAGGCTAGCAAGAAGTAGGACCGTCTAAGTGGAGGGTACCGGGACATTAAGGGCTACGGGTTAAGGGGAGGGTAAGGGTAAGGGTAAGGGGAGGGTTCCTTAAGGGTATTTACTTAAGGGTATTTAAGGGTATGGGTTAGGAGTATTTTTTGGTCCCTACCAGTACCCCTACCGGTCCTAAGGGTCCGGTACCGATACTTAGGGGTAACTTTAAATTAGAGAAAAGGCCAATTTTTAAATTTAAAATAAAACGTTGGGTACCGGTCCGGTACCAGTGCTGTACCAACAAGGTTCCTTAAGGGTACTAACGGTACCGGTACTAAGGCTACTGTTTCGGGTACCAACCATTACCCTTACCCTTCACCCCAAATCCCTTACCCCTACCCACCCACCGGAGCGGTACGGTCCGATACCGTTACTGGTATTACCCAACCCTTAGACGGTCCTAGTAAGAGGTAACACTTGTTAAACTTAAAGTTCTGCTCATAAAACAAGCAGAAACAAAAATTCAAGACCATCATCCACTTTTGAGGGCATTTGTGTACTACACCTGTCACGACCCGGATTTTTCCCACCATCGGGCGTCGTGATGGCGCCTACTAACGGAGCTAGGCCAGCGATACATTAAACATTCGCTATTCAACCTCAACAATATATTATACTAACAACAGTTAAAGAAATGCAGAAGACTTTAAGTTTAAAAAAAAGGATATAAAAATGCGGAAGTTTAAAACACATCCCTACCTAAAATCTGGTGTCACTAGCTCACGGACTACTATAGAATACTACAACAAGTCTGAATGAAAGAAATACACATGTCTGTTTCGGTACAATGAAAACAAACTGAAATAAGGAAAGGGACTTCGGCCTGCGAACGCCAGCTAGGCTACCTCGAGAGTCCCTGGACTGAAGATAGCTCCCGTATAAGAATCCTACTGCTGCTGTCCAAAAGCTGCTCCTGGATCTGTGCACAAAGAAATGCACAGAGTGTAGCATCAGCACAACCGACCCCATGTGCTGGTAAGCGTCTGGCCTAACCCCAGCGAAGTAATGACGAGGCTAGACAGGACTACCAAACCAACCTGTACAATTTTTATATACAAATATGCAACAAAAGGAAAGAAAATACCGAAACTAAACAGTTAAAAGGGAGGGAAACATACTAAGGGGAGAGTACAAATTTGGAAATAAAGTTCATCAGCGTAATTAAGAGACATGGCACAACAATAATTATCAAAGAATAAGAAATTCAATAGTTGCACGGCATCACCCTTCGTGCTTTTACTCTCAATCTCACCCAAAGCAATCAAATAAAATGCACGGCATCACCCTTCGTGCTTTCCCTCACATAGCTCTCATCTCATGGCACGGAATGACCCTTCGTGCAAATATAATCAAATCAGAGCACGGAATGTACCTTCGTGCATAAATAGTCAAACATAGCACGGAATGACCCTTCGTGCAAATATAATCAAGAATAGCACGGAATGACCCTTCGTGCAATTTCACTCTTCCTCACCCAAATAACAGTCACAACCAAACGGGCAAGAGAAATAAACAAGTAATATGAACTATCCCGGCAAGGGAACAACACAAATAACAACCAAGACCCGGCAAGGGAACAATAACAACATCTTTCACAACCCGGCAAGGGCAATACTCACTGTAATCAAACCATCCCGGCAAGGGATTAATCACACCTCTTTTCTATACGTTCATCTCTGACTCAATGGTATTTAACACTCGAGCCAATGCTCCAAAATATTAATATTTCACAACTTATCCTCAAACTCTTCACATTTGTAGAAAAACATGTTGTAGCATAGAAGAATTCCAAATTATCTCAAAAACAAGTACAAACAAAGACCCACGGTCATGCTAGACTCCGTTGTATAGACACTCGTCACCACGCCTATACACCGTACTCGATCAATTAGCAAATAGCATTTATGATACTCTAATCCTATTCCCTCAAGCCAAAGTTAGATCAAACACTTACCTCGGTCCGAAAATAGCAATCAAGCCTCTAACACCGCCTTTCCTCTAGAATTCGACTCCGAAACAATGATATCTAATCATAATTAATTTAATAATATCAAATGAGGCTCAACAACATAATCTCATAGCCTAGAAATGAATTTCCTACCATTCTTCCAAAAATAGCAAAATCCGACACCGGGCCCACATGGTCCAAACTCGAGGCTCGGACCAAATTCCAATCACCCATAACCCCACGAGTTCAAATATATAATTTATTTCAAGATCCGACCCCAAATTGAGGTTGAATCGCCCAAAACTTTCAAAAACCTAACTCTACCCAAAAGCCCTAATTTCTACCTTGATTTCATGTTTTTAGGCCTAGAATTTAGTGATTAGATGATAAAATAATGAGGAAACGATGTTAGGATTACTTACCCAACGAGTTGTGGAGGAAAGGGAACTTGAATTTCGTCTATGGAGGATTTGAGAGAGAGGTTCGTGCGAAGAAGATGGTAAAATCCCGTAATGGCTACTGTTTTAGGCTTTTAAAATAACTGGGCAAAATTGTTCATCGC